ACACACACACACACACACACACACACACACACACACACACTTTTTCTCTCTCTCTCTTGCTTTTGCCCATGCTGTTAGATTGATCTTACTTGTCACTGGAAGTGTACTTGTTCACTCGCCTCTTGTCTCTCCTATTATTCTCTGCTGCAAAGTCTGTTTGTCGGCCTGGGTTGGTAAACTCCAATGACTTCAAAGCTTTGGCTGTTTTGCCCTAAACACAAAATCATACAATGCTGAGAACTAAAACTGAGAAAAAACACACATAAAGAAAAGGTTAAAATATGACAAATATTTTAATAATGCTCATTAAATACCTTTAAAACTGGGCATGTGGAATCAATAAGAGACCATACTTGTGAATGTGCGGTATGGGAGGGACATGCAATTGTTAAATTAATTGAAGTTACTTTACTGTGCGTGTTAGTCACTAATTCTTGAAAAACTGCTTTCCTTTCTATAATCACAAAAACTGTCCATCGTAAAACCCGCCACTACATGTTAGACCCTAACAATAATTTATTCTCATATATATATAACGGCATGTATTTTCAGTTTGATGTGTAACCCTTTGCAGGGTTTTGGAACATTCAATTGAGGTTCATGGCCTACAATACCATACCTCACTCCTTCACTATTTTTTCTTCCAAACCAGGGAACACAATAGCACACCACCATATTACAATGTCAGCATCCTCCTTTGGTATAGGGACCTTTAATGATATCCTAGGTATAGTACCAAACAGACATTTGCCTGACATACTTCCTTATCCAGTCTGCATCTTTGGCGGGATGCTGCTTCCAGATCAGTGTACCCGGTGGCTAGCTGGGTGCAACGGTTGCACAGCTTCCAGCCAGGCACAAAATGCCGGGCGAACCGTTCGGTCAGAAAGCTGGCGTCATCCAGGTCTATGGGACGCAGACCCTTCCTGACAGCCTTCCTGTGGCTATTGAACGGGTCACAACAGACCCTTTGGGCCTCCTCATAGAGATCCACGTAAACCTTATGGTGGTGCAGGCACACCGTGTCTTGCTCCATCAAACCCATCAGGCCTGTCCGCAGCTGCAGCAGCAGGCAGTCCCTCTCAGGCAGCACCCCCAGCTGTGACAGCCCCACCTCCTGGCTTAAGAATGTCTTGTGGCAGTCTGATGCCTCCTGCAGCTGCTCCCCCACTGAGCATGGGCTCATTTCTGCCATGTCTACTGCCTTTTTGATGATTACAGACAAAACTATCAGTGGTAGAACCAAGGCTTTTTACCCAACTCACTGAGCCCTCTTCTAACAGGACTAGATGTCAGATTACAACAGTATTTTTTTGTCAGTACAAAAAGCATCAATCTCAAAAAGAACAGTTTTAGATCATACCTCAAGTTACACGTTTCTAAAAGCACAATGAACGCAAGTGACATTTCATAGAACAGATCTGCAATATTAAGTAAAACAGCACGTATCTAAGGAGTCACAATGAAGTGTCAATGAAGCAGTATACAATAAGTGTGCACTATAGTCATTCACTACAGTCCAACAGAAATTACAGTATGGTTTTTTTTTTTTATTATGAGTTTTCCCATAGTTGAGAACTCAGATTCCGATTAATCAATTTGGAAGTCACTAGACCCCTAAAGGTTATTAAAAGCCCCCAAATGAGTAGTTTAAAAACCAGTTTAGACGACCCATATAACTAACTAGACAGAACCAATTAAAAGTTCACTAACCAATAGTATTAGTGCACAACACGGATTGTACCAGCAATTGGCAAATAAGCATCTTATTTTTAACTGTTAACAAAGAGTCTACTTGGTCAGTCTAGACTAATTTAGGAGATATTAGTCACACTTACTAAATTAACTAGTAGCCTGGTCTTCTATGTTAGTAATAATTAACTAAACACAACGAAATACTAAGCAATAAAACCGAACCCTGATCCGATTCGGACAGGAAAATTTGAAGTTAGGTAACGAACACTACAATGCAATAAATAGGGACTCGGTGATTTTCTTCATCTTACACGTCGTTAAATAAGGAGTAAACTGCTGTGTGCCTTAACTTTCAACTGGTATCTTCACATTATAAAATCCCAGCATGGAGCTACTCGTCACAAACATCCAACAGCATCCCAAGAAATACAAGTCAACTCATAATATGGACGGCGGAAGAATCACGTCGGCCTCTCGCGCACACATCACCACCGTTACATTACTCGTCCGCGCCCAAGCACGAGCAAGCGCGCGGACTTAATTTTTCCGTCTACGCATACGGTTGCGGTGGGTGCGCGTCGACTGCGCATGTACAAAAAATAATGTAGCAACACCGACTTTCACACGGGATATGGCAATGAAAATGAGTAAAGGGGCAGTTATAGTTATGGACGCACATACTATCTTCCCTCTGTCTTTTTTTTCCTCTTCAGCACACGCCAACAGAAGCAAAAGCAACTCACTCTCAGTCGCCATGGGTTGTTGTGTAACTCTTCCTGGTTTTGCGTAAGCTTCATTAAGACCGAGACCAGCATCTGCCCTCTACTGGTCTGGTAGAATATCACTGCTGTAGACCGCTAGGTTTATCTCTGTACGCACACGGCCGCGGTGAGCGCATGCGTACAGCAATGATATTTCACCAGACCACATGTGTCAAACTTAATACCCGTAGCAATATTCTTTAGGGCCGGCGAAATTGTTTTCATATTCTGTTAAATATGGGCCGGGAATAGCGGTGTAATGGTACACAAAATTCACGGGTCAGTTCACAAACCTCGGTTTTAGGTTCACATGTCGGAGAATGTGCCGTTACAGCAAGGGAAAATAATTTCAAAACGCATTCAAGTTATTACTAAAAACACAAACAATTAGGAACAATTGCAAAGCAGTCATGTGTCACCATCGGCGATATAAATAAAACCCATTGGACGCTAATCTGCACATTTTAAAAATAGCTGAAGAATGTAAAATAATTCTAAAACAAACCTGCATCATAACAATCATAACGAACTAATACTGACTCGAATGAGTTAGCGTGTTGGATGCATTTCCAGCAACATATCCGAGTTCGATGTAACAGCTGACATACAGTCTTGGTCTTGTCAATAACACTTTCTCAGTGTTGGTGTAATTTATTGTAAAACCAGTTACGATTATGACTGACTAAACAACTTTATCCGTATCTACCCGGAATTGATGGATCATCAGTTATAAAATTCAGCAAAACGCTGTAGTTGTAATCAGGTTGTTTTGATTTTTTGGTACTGAACTAAGCCTATTTCTCTTAATGAAAAGAAAGAGCGAGTGGGTAATGCAAGATAGAGAGAGATGAATAATACTTCATCAGCCCAGTGCATTTAATTTAATTCCATATCGCTAGAGAGGTTTTGTGTATGATTAGTTTGTTTTAAAAACAGAATTTTTAGCAATAATGTTTACTAAAGTTCACAGTTGTAAATATTATTGAATTATAATAAAGATACAACTGCAAAGTTACCCACTCACATCTAAAGACAATGTTTTATTGCCTAAAGACTTTTTGATTTTGCTGTACCTTTGTATTATACAGAATGTTTTACTGCTGTACATTTGCTTCTATGTTACATAGGATGCAAAGATTTTTTACAAATTCTTACAAAATGTGTATTCAATTTTCTTTACATAGAAAAATAACTGCACAATAGGACAAAGTAGCGCAAAACAGAAGAGTAATTATAAAGTGCAGTGGAAATGCAATGCACCCTGCATTCAAAATACTGTACCTCTATACTGTACCAACTTACTTTGGATTGTTCTCCATGTCTATCTACCCTATCAGATGCTCTACCTGCTTTGCTGCATCCTGTTTGGTGGTGGAGAAACCGATTGGTGGTGGACATTGTCCATGTCACTATTTGCATGAGCCAAGAACTATGATAATATTAGACACGGTTGATTGTATCGGAACGCCAAAATGGAAGGAAAAAAAAAAGACTGAGATTGAGAGCATTTCCGACCACCTTACACAAAACGTCCGAGATGATGAGAGCACACCAGCACACTATTAAAACTGATTTCATTTTTTCATTTATTTTGATTTTCTATCCCCGACATTGGAAATTTATCCACAAGTGATAACACTTGTAAAGATTTTTGGTGCAAAGCAAACATTAGACATCCCACTAAAATAATTTAATTTCATGTGTGGACTAGGGTTAGCAGCACTATTTCGCTCGCCTGTTGAGCTGGGGCCAACTTTGAATGGTATGTTTATAAACCCCAGCCAACATATCCTGCTCATTCTGCCTTTTAAGGAACCTAACATGACAATGGGTGTTTCTCAATATGTGTACTTGACTATACTTGTGTTCTCATGTACCCGTTTTGTCATCTTCCTTTGCTGAAGACCAGTTCCAATACTGAAAAACAGAAGTACAGAGGACAGTAAAGATCTCTGGATGTCGTTTGCACCCCGCCTCAGATATCAAGGATGCATCGGTTGCATCCTCGCCAAATGAGAGCAATCCCATGATTAATTGTGCCCCAAGTTCATTCTTGGGAGGCAAGTTGGCAATACCAGTCTTACAAAGACCACAAGTACTCTTTGCGTTATCGTTATTGAAAAACACCCCATGTTTACCTCTTGCGACTCGCTGGTACTCACTGTTCATGTAAAGGGGAGTGGAGTGGATTTAGGGCAGGCAGTTTAATTTGGGCACAATGACAAGAAGAATGGCTCTCGAGAATGATTTGGTTCCTTTTGTTCATACCAAAGAGCCACTGAAATGAATCGGATCATTCACGTATGTAACATAACTTATGTAGCGGCGTTTCCATTGACCAACATTTTGCAGATGTGAAATGAAAACCCGATAATGGAAATACTCAGATTTTAAAAAAATAAATAAAAATCCGGAATTATCACAAAAAGGTTTACGTTCGCTTGAGATGGTTTTTGTAGTGAGTAGTAATAGTTCGCAAAACTGCGATGGAAACAATTCGCGAATTAGTACATAGTAACAAAGTAATTCTGTGCAGTGTTACATTAAACACACCAATGGGTTTAACATTACTGATGGGATATAATCCACAAAATACAAAAATGCAATAAAAAAAATAACCCTTTTCAAAACTCATAGTAATTACCTTCTGAATTAAATAAACAGGGTATTTTGGGATAATTTTGTAATCTTGTATGCCAAAATTTAGCCAGTTATTTGCAAGGGGCCTATACTGACAGCAGTAGCCTCATCTCTATTTCACATCCTATAATTTTCCTCATAGCCGTTTTCAATACAAGAATAAGAACAGTACACGATTTAGTCGCAGACATAAGCAATATTTTTTTTGTTACATAATGATGTATGAGAAATGCTAAGTACGGTTTGCATGACATCAATTAACAGAAACACCCCCATTAAAAATTAAGTTTTGTAGACTTGAATTTGTTTATAATTGGCGCTAAACAGGAAACACAGCTATAGCAAGTGCAAAATGCTGTAGTTGGCATAGTTATTTCAACATGGGGCTCGCAAGTAAGGCGCTAAACCCCCAACAGCTCCAGGGACTGCCTGACCGTGCTTTCTCAACTGTGTCGCTTTGTATAAAGACGTCTGCTAAACAAATATAATATTGACTTTAATACGCAACTACTTTGAATTTACGTTTGGTATTTGTTTTTTGTTGTGTTGCCTCTTACCATATTGGCAGAATTTGTCTCCTTCAGTTTTTGCTTTTTGTCTCTTGTACGTAGGTTTGCTTTCTCGTGGTCCTTTTCTTTATCTTTTTCTGTCAAAGGATCTTTTGCTACTACCCCACCTCGACTCTTCCGTAATTCAATCTATAAAGACACAGTTGTACACCACAGTTACAGATCCAGCAAAATTTGATTTTATATGACACTACACATTTAATCATCATCTTTATATATACAGGGAGCCACATAAAAGTTGCCCAGCATCTTTAACAAATACAACTGACATGTAGGGTTACTTTTATCTGGGCTACGCTGAATCATTTCATTTACTGTTCAGGAGCCTTAGACCATTAATAAAATAAAATTGCAAAATGAAATTAGGAAGACCGCTTACCCCTCCAAACTTTTCCACAATCTTTCTCTCTCTCTTAAATGCTGCCTTACATAGTACTGTATGACCAAATTTTACATCATACAGTGCCTTAAAACCCACATAATTTAATAGTATAAGATCAAGAGGGGAAAAAAAACCATAGAAAAACAATACTTCAGGTCAGGAGTCAGGTATTTGACAGTCGCCGTTATTGGGGTATTGCAGAAGCTAGTTAAAAATAATCTCTCACAGCAATAACATGTCACCTTTGTAGTATTGCAGCCAGCAAAGATAGTAGGCACGGCATCCTCTCTCAGGAACTGCCTTCCGTTGTAATCACGGAAACAGTCTGGCTGGAAGTGCTCGGAGCAGAGACACGAGTTGGCAGTGGGAACAAATGACTTGCGACCGAGGCTCTGTACCCACTGGGCCGCGAGCTGGGGCTTGCTGATGGGGAACCTGCAAGAGAGATGCTGTGAGGAGCGGTCCAGTGGTTATACATGTGCGGTCCTGTATACCTATTGCAACTCAAAAAACATTTTATGTCACAAACACCCTTATCTTCTTTTCTTACTACTGTAGTGAACAAATGCATAACAAATGACAAAAGGCATTCTAATACCCTACACTAAAACATGTTCTAAAGCATTATGTTGTACTGTACGCAAATTACTGGGAAGAAAAATAATCTGTCATTTTCTTCTGGGCTGCATTTCTTTCAGAGGTTTTAGTGATATAGGCATCAAGTTTTCCAACGCAATTCATCAGAACGTCTGCTTCAACAGCATCATTAGCGTTATGTTCAATGTAACGCTGCAGCAGTGTCAACGCCATGCTTGCTTCACGTGTAGATGGTGGAAGCTCAGCTGGAGCCTCCTCATCACTGGATTCGTCACCAGTTTGTGCACCATCGACACCAGCAGACTTTGCCTTGACTTCTGTTGCAATCTCCTGATCGGTAAACACAGCAGCTGTCTGCACATGCTCATCAACAACAAGAAATTCTTCCGCAGACATAGTCTGGTCCAAGAAATGCAATTCCATCAGTCGTTCAAATATGTTACCACAGTCACGAGCAGACAATATTGTACATGGGGAGGTCTCTGAACGATCTTCTCCTGTCTCTGCAGAAATATCAGATACAATGTTCTTGACAATTCCCGCCTTCCTGAAACAATTGTTGATTGTTGTCGCTGTGATTTCGTTCTCCCAGACTGACCGAGCCCATCGCAAACACTGCAGAATGTCTATGGCAAAGTTATCCATGTCGCCGTTCTCGCTGGCCATGATAAGTTTCTGCAGAAGTCGCTTTCTGTACAGAACTTTGAAGTTCTGTATGATGCCCATGTCACATGGCTGAAGTAGACTAGTACAGTTTGGTGGCAAGAACTCCAGCTTTATTGCTTTAAGCTGTTCAGCTACAGCTGGGTCATGCGCGCTGCAGTGATCAACGATCATCAGAACGCGACGCTCTTCCTTCACAAATTTTCTGTCAAGATCTGTCAGCCATTCACTGAACAGACTGGCTGTCATCCACGCTTTGCAATTGCTTTTGTACACAACTGGCAGCGACTTTGCACCTTTGAAACAACGTGGCTTGGCAGACTTTCCAATAGCTAGCAGCGGCAGCTTTTCAGATCCATCCATATTGGCAGCAAACAATAATGTGAGGCGCTCTTTACTTCTCTTGCCACCGTGACAGCTGTCTCCTTTGAACATCATTGTGCGGTCTGGCAACAACTTAAAAAATAATCCAGTCTCGTCAGCGTTGAAGATGTTGCGTTCGTCATATTGGTCCAGCAGCCATGGCAGTTTGGTCTGTAGCCAGTCTGTAGCAAGTTCTTGTGGTACAGACACTGATTCGCCACTCAGGACGCGAAAGATAACAGCTCTGCGCTTCTTGAACCGATCCAGCCATCCATCACTACATTTAAAGTCATTGTGACCAAGTTCAACAGCAAGCCTGACTGCCTTCTCTTTCAGAATTGGACCTGAGACTGGCGCACCAAGTGAACGTGCTTGCTTCAACCAAAGAAAAAGCGCATCTTCAACATCATCATAGGTGGATTTGCGCATTTTCTTGCTGCCATCTGCAAACTGCGAAGAAGTCTTGTACTTCTCACGGTTACTCCAGATGTCACTGACCGTAGATTTACTTAAAGCATAGTCACGTACAATATCCGCTTGTGTTTTAATTTTTGTTTCGATTAAAAGGACGATTTTGCGTTTAAAATCTAATGTTATAGAACGACGCTTCGATGCAGACTTCCCAGCCATTTTGAAAATAACTATTGATGCCTATTTATAGAGCGTGACCATTAATAATCCCGACTACGTATCTGCGCTGGATATCACCGGCACGCCACGCGCCTTGTAGGCGGAGCCTGCATGTTGGTTATAGACGAACAAAGCTACAGTTAAAAGTGGCCCTGGGGACCAAATTGTTTGTCCTTTATAAGCGAAATTCCGCTGTATCCGATGCTTTTTCTGTATGCTCGTAAAGGTGCTCGGTTGCTATAGACGATATTCCACTAAAAGCGAGTCCACTATAACAGGATTATACTGTAACAAAAACATCAGGGACAGGACGATTTCGTAATAATAAATTCTAAAATGCATCAGGCTGTACAAATTGACGCTGAAACATAACGGATACATCCCAATATCTCAAGGAACTACGAGTAAAACAGCGCATCGAGTAGAAGCGACAACAAACACGTTTTATGCTGTAGTAACATACCTATAAAACCTAATTTCCGAACCTTTTATGAATCGATTCGTACACCCTTCAGCAGCACAACTAACTGGCATTATGACAAACGAAGCTCAAATAAACGAATGGAAAAAAAACTGCCGTCTACAGCTTCAGACACAAAATGAAAATCGTTCCGCAGCTTCAGGATGGCTCAGGCGCGTTACGGGAAGTAAAATGATACAAACAGGAAGCCATGACGGCCCAAAATGGGTCCTTGCACTGGAGAGTACGTCCGGAGTACAACAGGCCAGGGTTGTCCAGATCCGTTCCGGAAAGCTACGGGCTTCAAACGCTCAGTGAGGCTTTTATTGTACCCTGCTTTTGGGAAGTGCTTCCACGTGATCATAAATAAATCCTTATTTTTCTCTAAAACTACGAAGTGACCGACTTCTCCATAATGAAACCTACAAAGAGGAACATTTCTGAAAGAGCTTCAATTCTAACCAATGCTGATTGGGACGACGGTCTTAAAATCGCAGATATTCGTTAAATTATTTTTAAACTGTATTTTATGTGGTTGAAGGCAGGCAGAATTGCCGGGGCGGTCTTGCGTGGGCGGAGATTCCTGACGCCGCAGAGAGTGACGTCACTCCCGGCAGCTCGCGTGCGATTCAGCTAAAATGTGTAATTAAACAACGACGAGACGTTCGGATGCTGTCGGATTTATTTTATATTGTTTATCTTATCTTCCCGGCATTCAGAAGCGCTCGTCCGTGTTGCATCGTCGAATGATGGTTCGGTGTGCTGGTTTCCTTTGCTGGAAAGTCTTCCGAGGTAGTTATTGGCCGTTACGTTAGTAGTTAGTAGGCTATTTACTAACGCAGTGAGGGGCACCGGGAATGTCCCACGTTCGAAGCTGGTTAATGTCAGTCCAGTTTCATAACTTGCCAGGGTGTCTGGTCGAGCTAAACCGACACATAACTATGCTTACTGGTAGTGAGACGGGGAATAGCTGACCTTAATAAGGCTTTAAAGGATTTCATTGGGATCTCCTAGGTAAGTGCTAGAGTAGAAGCCATCGGTTCAGGGGCTTGTCTGCCGGTCACCGTGGATGACAGTAGATTATTTCCTGTCGTGGGGAAGATCCCCGAAGGGTAAACAAAGCCCATGAGCGCGTTATTAGGCCTGTCACCGGTATAAGAGCGTAAAAATGGGGAGGAAATGGATGGTCCTACTTAGCGTCAGAACCAGGACAGGCCACCATGACACCACTTACCTGCAAAGTGCTATCGGACTTGGCTATAGATTACTGGGTCTTCGTAAACAGATAATATACGTTGGTGCACGGCTGCACTTATTTCTCAGTTTTGCTTTCGCTGTTCTCACGTTTGCAATGGTGTGTGTTCACAAACGTTTTTAGAAGGGCATTAAGCTGGAAAAATACACCATAACGCGAACATATATAGCCCAAGCTTTATTAAACTGAGCCCTTTTAATTTTGTTTACATGCCGAGACCATTGTGGTATGGGGCAAAGAAAAAGAAGCGCGTAGATTTATTAATAGCAAATATAGAAAGTTTGTTTTAGCGGAGGGGCTTTCTCCTTGCAGCCATGCACTGTACAAAGGTAAGTGCAGTCTGATAACCTGCAGAGGACATTGGACTCGGGAAGGTTATCTTGAGTCAGGAACCTCCATTGCAGCTTGCTGGGAAGGCGGCTATGCAGTTTACAGGTTATCAGAATTATAGGTGTGTGCAGTCATCTGTCACACTATTGGTCACAATGCTTATACTACAAGTTGTAGTTCGTTATAAATTCTCTTCCTAAAGTTGAAGCTTGCTTTAATTTATCTCATTTGCAAAATTTTTGTTTTTGCACAGATCTTAGTGTATTTTTATGGTTGCAAAAAGATGACAGATTTTATATATAGCACTGTAAGACACTTGCAGTTATGCAAAGTGAGCAGTGGGTCTTGGTAAATAATGCTGGTAGTCAGGCTGGAAGACACTAGCTAAGGCCCAGTGGGGATTTGAAAATGATGTGAATGACCTTTAGTAACCTCCCTCCCTTGGTTTCATTTTCTCACTCTACTCCTCTTCTCTCCTGGCATTTTATTCCATCTATGTTTTATCTGGATTCCACAGGTTTGAAGGTGACGGTTACTGTGTGCTCTGATTTGTAAACCTTAAAGGCAAATTAACTTTTTAGTTGCTCTGTAGGGGACCCATATTTTTTTCTCTGTTTTCTTGTTGAATTGTCAAAACACCTTATAGTTCATTGTAATCCCAAGGTCCCTGCTGTATTTGAGCTGGCTTAGGGGGTTTAAATTGAAGCAGCCTTACCAAAGACAGTTGCCCCAGATTTTATTAAAATTATTTTTTGTTTAATCCCATAATATCCGTAAATATCTTTATAGTGAAAATAAGTTTTCATGTGATAATGCAATATCTCTATTCTCAGTGTACCACAAACCACTCTTAGGCAAAAGTTACTAAGTTTCCCCTGCTATGAATTCAGTGTTCTTTTGTAACAGTGATTGACACATTATCGGTTTCTGTATTGTCCTGTATTACCCTGCAAATGTAATACCTTGGAACAGTGGAACAGCTAATGTTTTCGATTAAACAGGGTGAAGATTGGTCCCGTTATGACAAGCTGCTGTGCAGAAGATGTCCACGCTCTCTCCGACTGATATCACTGATGTTGGTCATGGTAAGTGTCCTGTACTGCAGGATTTCTCCCTGCCCTGAATGTTTATCAGATTGGTTGTTAAAGTGAATTATGCTTACCTAACATCACCATAAAATGAACTATCAGCCTCTTAAACTCATTTGATAAAGAATATAAAGTCTGAGGTCTAAACTGCTAAGTTGTGTTGTGACCATTCAGTGGATTTAATTATGGTAGCGCTGTTTAGACATTTACTGTTTTTTTATGTTCTGCTTACCTTCAGGTGTAACGATTATTTATGTGTTGGCAGTGTAAACTCAGTCTTTGAGATGTTTGAGTACTGCTTGTTTGGCAGGGCCTTGACAGAAGTAGCCCATTTAAACCTCTGCAATGTTTTAGAATCAGTGGCAGAATTTCAGAAATTTGGTGTTGTTTACCTGTTGCCCATATTTCCAGCAAATATTCTTCTATTCTTGTATGACTAGTTGGAAATGTCAGTCTCTTGGATCACCATTTCCTTGAGAGAGTTTGCAACCTCAGTGTAAAACTTTTACTTCTGCTTTGTTCTATACTGAGCTTGGTGGATAGGATTTGCTCTCAAAAGGAAGCCTAGGAGGTTTATCACACAGCAGTTGCAGTTAATGCCACCCAGCCTATTGGAGGTGTAGGGACTCAGTGTGTTGGTGTGAAGGATTGATGAGGGATTTGAGGGGTACATTAAACACAGTAAGGTGGAGCAAAGATGGGGTTTGTAGATATGCTAGAAACATTTAATCCGTGAGGTGTAATTGTATGCACCGCTGGTTTTTGTTAGAATTTCCTTGTTGGGATAAATTGCAAATTGAAGTGTATATTATTTTCTGCCTGAAATGGTTTTCTGCATGCTTTTCTTCATTTGAGTTCTTCTTGGTTTGAGTGGTTGCACACTGGTGTACATATGCTGCACAGCTGTATCTTCAGGCGGTTCCCTGTACTTCCAGCTGTGATCGTTTCTCACTCCTGGCAGGATGAGACCCAGTGTGGCTGACTGTCCAGGTGCATCCTTAATGGTCACTGCTTCTCTAAACTGAATTAAGAAGATACCTTTGGTGAAACTTCAAAGGATGTGCATTTTAGACCCAGGAGTTATAACTCATTTTTTCTTTCAACCTTTTGTTATTTAGAGTTATCTAAACAGGCAGAGATTAAAATGAGCTTATAGTTGGAACTGATTTGATTTGCTTTGGTGGTGTTTGTGTAGGTGACAATAAGGATGCATGATACAGAACCAAAGCTATACTGGAGTGGCTTAGGAAAACAAAAAGTTCTGGAGCAATCCAGTCAAAATTCACACCTCAACCCCATCAAGAACCAGTCAAATGCTTTAAAATTGCTTTCTCCAGTAATTGTCCAAGGACACTGAGCTGAGGCAGATCTGTTAAGAGGAGTGGATAATTGTATATCTTGACCAGTGTATGAAGCTGGTAGACAACTACCCAAGTTGACTTAGTGCTGTCATTGTGGCAAAAGGTGGTATGTGAAATATTAAGGCATTAATATTTATGCATGCCACGTATTTCAGTTGACCAAGTTACTGAGAGGGATAGGTGTCCGGTCTGTCTGCAGGCTGCTGGGTGATGTGACCAAAGACTCAGTTCAAACTTCCCATATTGTTATTGGTCCACTGGCTTAATGTCAACGTGCCTGAAAATGGCTGACCTTCAGTTCTGCCACTAAAAAACAATAGGCCTGCCAGTCAAGATCAGGGCCAATGCTGAACACAAACAATAGCCCAGCATTCAGTTCCACAGATATCTAGAGCCTGTGGACTCCTGTAGAAACACTGCCAAAGAGCTGTCTGTCTGTGTGCTGTTGTCACAACTGACATGAACTTTACTTCAGGGAGATGTTTTCAGTGTTGCTCAGAAGTAACCCAGAATCTGTAGCTCAAATTTCAGTTGCCAGGCATAGTTGCGTCAATTTAATTTTCCGTGAAGGTGCATGTCATCTTTACGTTATAGTATTTACATGCCTTGTAAAGGTTTAGTGACACTTTATTAAGAGATATTGTATTAATTCCTGTGGGAAAATTAGCTTTTTGCCTACTGCATCTTGTTCGCCATGAGACACACAGACACATGTACAGGTGATAGCAAGCTTGGGCATTACAGTGCAGGGTCAGCCAGCGCGCAGCACCCCTAGATCTGGGGGTTAAGAGTCTTGCTCAAAGGGCCACAAACATGTGATTATTCCGCCAAGGCTGGGGCTTGAACTGACGACCTTCCAGTCAGAGGTTTAGCCTGATAATCAACTCACCCCACTTCTGGCTTTGTTCATGTAAGATAAAAATCTGACTTTAATAATAAATTAATAATTATGTCATTATTAGTAACTGACAATTGTACATTGGGTTTGTTTATTGGTGTGGAACAGAATACATTATCAGCCTTAATTTTGCTTTTGCCGTAGATGAGTTCCGTAGCTGTCTGGTATACTGACACCAAAAAAAGGCCAGTACCACTCACTCTCCCAAGGACCTCTAGGGTCACTTTTGCTCTGGTGGTCCTGGGAAGTGCAGTTTCCAAAGGATATCTCCAGTGGTCCCTGGCAGATTGTTATAAACACTTACAATGCAATAAATTTCACAATTCACAGCGAAGGGTTGAAAGGTGTCTTTAAAATGGGGGAGCCGCACAACTATTCACTCCCAAACATAGCATGGGCCCATGGCTGAGATATGCATGATGCCTGATCTCACAAATCAAACCAGCATTTTTCACTATTTCAGAACTTTGAGGATTATGGACATTTGGCACAATCAACAGTTAAGGGTTTGGCACTTATAGGAGGTTTGTGACATCACACAGTACCATCCAAACCAAGCAGAGGCCCTCATCTGCCACATTGGTATATAGTTTTCCTTCTGTTGCATGAAACTTTATGTGAACTCTGTGCTCTTTTGCCAAGTTTGTCATGATTTGTCAATTGTGCTGTTGTTGGCTGAAACGGCAACAGTTTTTGCAACAAAGGAAAGTGGTCCTTTAAGATTCCCGAAATAGTAAAACACAGCAATCCAGAGAGGAGAGATGAAATTGTATCTAGTGAGCACCACTAGCAATGAATGCACAACATCTCAAGATGTCTCTCACTGAGAAGAACCATAACGGCACCAGAAATGGTGTGGATCTGAAATTACTAGTGTTTCTATGTGTGGGCTTAGTTAGCTGGTGAACATCGGGTTCATTATTGTTAATAAGATAAAATTACTATATCTCAAGATCCCCATTCTATATATGGTTGTGGAAACTGATGTAACCTAATGTGAATTCAAGTATTTTTATGGCTTTTTGTGTCACATAATATGAGAAGTATTACATATTATACAAAATTACAGTTTAGTTTTAAAAATGCAACATTGAAACATATCAGAAATGCCATTCTTATCCTTTCGCATTAGGAAAACCAACCACTATGTATGACAGGCAACATTGCCTGGGCACCAACAGTGAACATGGGACACATCAGCGTGAAGAGCCTGACTGCAAGACAGGAATGCAACAGAAACGACAACTCAGACGGTGCCCTCAGCAATTACAAAAATCAATCAGCAATTTACTGTTAGAACATTTTCACTTATGTGCGATCAAACCAGATAATGATAATAATAAAAGAAATATATTAATAAACAATGAATAATAAGCATGAGATTTATACTTATAGATACTCGTGAATACGGCAAAATATTTTGTCCCCACTTTTTCTCAGCAGTTTGTGTACCCACCCAAAAATTATGAATTTAAACCGTTAGACTTTCAATCACTTTCATTGTTATGCCCCCAATGTTTGAAAAACTGGATAATTAATTTGGTCCTCATAACGGACAGTGGGCAGCTCATAGCCATTTGCAGTGTACTGAATGTGACTGGTGTCATAGTAAAGTGCTACTTGGCTTGCTTGCATTCACATGCTCAGAGTACTCCATTACCGTTACTGACAATGCACCAAGATGGCGGTGAGAAGCAAATGCGCAGTGCCATTGTAACCCCCCTAAAGCACATGCTGTGAGCTTCCAGATATGTTCATACTGAGAAATCTCTCTGTGTTGTGGGTCAGTGCATTTTGTGGGTCCAGGTCATGATATAAATGTACACTGTGTATATTTAACCTGGAGAACTGTACTCCTTTAAAGTGTGAGGTCATTTGCATTCTTCTCCACCTCGTTCAATGAATCACTGGCCTTGTTAAAATGAAAAAGCAAGGTTAATGGTTGCATTACTGTGAAAATCTGCCAGATGCCGAAGAGAGCCAAATGAAACCTGACCTGCATGCTGTCTTATTCGGCTTCTCTGCCTTTCAGTTAAAATCAGGCGTGGCACCTGAAGTGGGAGGGGGGCAAACAGTGAGGGGAGATCGCTGCAGCTGGATCCCTTCCCAGTGCCACCACCCGTCTGGCTTAGAAAGGCTTGTGACAGTGACTCAGCACCTCCTGTCTGGGGCCGGCTGCTGTTGTAGAAGCTGGCCTTGGTGCTTGTTTATTTCTGGTCCACGTTGCTAATAACCTACAACTGGTTGCCTAAACCCAGGTCTCTCTCCAGGGATCTGTTTTCTGAAACAGTCGTGCTGTTTATTAATGTGTCTGTGCTATTGACAGGTTTATTTTTTAACTTCACAGATATATCCTTGTCCTTTTTAGAGCACATAGCTTCCTCTCTGTGAAGGTAGCATTGTAATGCAGTATTGTACTATACACTTTGTATAGTGCATTTTCTTAACTGTAATCAGTAGATTTTCTCAGAATTGTCCCTGTGATGTTTTGTCTGTCTTTGCCCTGGACTTTCCCTCATTCTGTACTCTGGTTGGGTTTCTTCAATACAATCAATGTATAAATACTGGGGAATTTAATGTAGAAACATGTGCATAACTATGTGAGTTGCAGTGGTGTTTTATTTGCGTTTCCCCAGGCTCCCTTTGATATTTGGCTAGGTAGTCCTCCAGTTAGGTTGTGTGTTTGCTGGATCTGTTATAGGGGCCCTAGTGTCTGTTACCACAGTCTTGTCCTCAGTTCTTTACTGACCTGGTAGTTCCATTTGCTAGCAAGGGATCAGTTTTATAGTTGGCAACTAAACATAATGTGTACTTCCATGGCTCCCAGAAATATAGGTTATTGTGCTGTCAAATTTCGTCATTGTTACCGGTCTGAGTTTGCAGGGATGTAAACATAGTGATTTTGATATAACTCATTGTTGCAGTCTTTTATTGTCATAAAACAAACCAGTTTTAGTACAGCCCTGATGAAGCAACTCAGGATTCAGGCCGTGCTGTACTTAAGGTATTTTGGTCACTCTGTCTTGTCCTGTGGTTGTGTATATGTGTGTTTTTGGTGTTGCATTCAGCTGTACAACTGAATTTGGTCCAAGCCACTGATGTAGCATGACAAAAATACCAATATAAAGGAAACTGAAAACCTGGATATTTACTGCAGTGCTGATTTTAGTAACTTTGTTGGCTGTATTCAGAGGCTTAGAGAAATGCTTGGCTAGTCGGGAATTAAATCTCCAGTTCATTTTAACTGCTGTTAGCCAGTGTCAGGGGAAGATAAATGCGGTCTATGTTTATATTAAAACTGGGTAAGAGAGCTGAAAGTAGCTGTGCAAGACCTGATCCAGTAGGAATGGCAAATGGAACCACATGCTATGGGGATTGGCAGACAAAATGGGGACTTTGTTTTCGATGAAAGGATTGAGTCAACTGTGAGGGGAAAAGTATAAGTGAACAGACATCGTTTCAGCTTCAGCACACGGGAAACAAAAAGGTCAGTAGCTGGAGATGAGGCAATGAGGACCACTTGCATGGTCTGTCAGAAATCACCCGTCCAGCTTGCAGTTCCTCATCTAGCACAGGGTTTTAAGGAGCCTACAGCTTTCAGAGTTAGCATAAGGCAGAGGAACACACTGGATGGCGTGTTAGTTCATTGCATGGCATGCATGTCCACAGTGGTGGATCATCAGGGGAAACCTGAGTACCTGGTTGAAACTCGCAAGACACTAGGAGAAAATGTAGTTTTGTATCTGCTGTTAGTAATGCTTTACTTGAGGGGACACCAGTAATATAATAGTGCATACTTAATGCATTAATTAAACAGGAACTAAGGGTTAGTTACGTACTGATCCCATGTTCATTTATCATTAATCTATCATGATGATTCATGTATTTCTTGCAGGAAGTGTATTAGTTTATTATTTGTTCTTGAGTAGTAACCGAGTAACTAAGTTTTTGTACCCCTCAAGTAAAGTCTTACCCAACTGCAATTAAGTGTAATATCAAATGTAAGTAAATTCATGGTTTTGTCACCTGACTTCATTCTACTCTACATGTTGCCTCATTCAGGGGACATTTTGAATTGTGCTCTGTCATTTTCACTCTTATTGTAAAGATCTAGTATCTTATCTGGAGAACAATGTTTAAATGTGCATTATCAGAAGCTAGTTTGTTTCACTTCTCATTTGTTAGAGAATTACAGTTATTTGGGTGAAATTTGCATAATCTTAAAGGATGTTTCTTGCAGGAGAAAATTGCCCCTATTACTTCATTTTAAGCTGTGACTCTACAGGCTTTCAGTTTTATTTAACATACATTTTATAGTGATATTTTAGGAGACTAAAGAGACACAAAGGCAGCAAAGGAGGAGTTTAAACGCTGATGTTCCTGTATTTGACATGGACTTCTGCTTGGTATTTCTAGGTTTCCAGTTTTGAAGAAGCTGACTCATTCTCCCAGTCTTTGTGGGGGGTAGGCTAGTGCAATACAGTGAAATGCCTTTAAAGTAGTGAGGTCATGATGTGCTGAGAATTACCATGGGAATGTGGGAGTTCCTGCTTCAGTGATCTGTGGCGGTCCTTGGGACAGTTACACATGTTGGGATTGACTTATTGATAAAGCGTCTGAAGTGCTTTGAGCTGTTTACATTCTCATTACATTATCATCACTCGTGAATAGTAAACAACTATCAGTTTTTAGCAAATGGTTATCCAGTAAATGGTTGTGCTGAGTGCACACATGCTCATTTGATCGCAATTTAAATAGTATTGGTTCAGTAAACTGGTGTCTATGGACTGTGAATTGTGGGAGGAAATGCAGAAAACTGAAGGAGAGCATGCAAACCACACACACACACACACACACACACACACAAACACACACACACACACACACACAAACACACACACACACACACACACACACACACACACACANACACACACACACACACAAACACACACACACACACACACACACACACACAAACACACACACACACACACACACACACACACACACACACAGCCGGAGGCAGTAACTGAGAATAGCAAAAAGGTTTTATATTGTTTTTGCTGTTAGCACTGAGTGTGAAACATTTTATATGAGTTTAAGATATTTCTGATGTTGTTATGCCTAATGCCTGTGTGTCTGTCTGTCTGTCACACATGGATGTTTTCCAGATGTAAATAAAGTGTTCGGCACAGAGGATGTGTCCCACTCTGCTGTGGCGGTAGCAGACGGTCACGATGACTCGCTGCCCCTCCCTGACCCCATCGATTTCCCCCCCCTGCCAAACGGCACAGCACCGGCTCCTCAGGCCCAGCTGAATGACCTCGGGGACCCAGATCTGACCCCTCCCATCACTGCGGAATCTGCCAGTGCCAAATTGGACCCCGCTGTAAGCGCGCTGGCCGTTGAACAAGGTAAAATATCCCCAAGGCTAATATATTAACTCCCACAGCAATCGAGTCCAGTTCATGGCTTCATGTATTGTGTTTACATTGTTAAATATTGTAGCACTTGACTTCAGTTTGAACATTATTATTATTATGTAGTTTAACATCAGAATTAGTAAGATGATCTCCTTTTTCCACCCTCCTCCATGCAGAGAACCTGCCAGTCAAGCGGAAGAAAGGCCCGGCCCCCAAGATGCTGGGTAATGAGGTGTGCAGCGTGTGTGGGGACAAGGCCTCGGGCTTCCACTACAACGTGCTGAGCTGCGAGGGCTGCAAGGGCTTCTTCCGCCGCAGCGTCATCAAGGGCGCCCAGTACACCTGCAAGAACAGCGGCAAATGCGAGATGGACATGTACATGCGGCGCAAGTGCCAGCAGTGCCGGCTGCGCAAGTGCCGGGAGGCGGGCATGCTAGAGCAGTGTGAGTCGTGATTGGCTGGGGGCGGGGCAGCGTGGGTCTCGATTGGTTGTAGCGGTATAATTAATCCCAGTACCTGTCATGGTAGCAGCGCTGTTGGTTTCATTAAGATTGATGATAGATGGAAATTCTCAGCAGTTTACAAAGTTTTACATTTACGTAAACTGATGCCTATTGCCTATAGCTTGACTGCTGCTTGTGTGGGTAGCCAAGGTCCCATGTGTCAGACATTCCCTGGTTAAGGCATGAAAGGTCTTTGAGAATGTGACCATTTGAAGCTAAGATTCCTGTCTAGGGCCAAAAACTGTTTGAAGCTAGGAGGTGTTGCAAATTTATAACATGAATCTACAATAATGTGCATAAGTAGTAATCAGAGGTGGAGATTTCAGGTCCAGAGAGGACAAATCCAGACCAAGATTTTGTTTGAACCAACCAGTTGAGTATTCTGTGACTGTGACTCTTTATACTCAACAGGTTGGTTCAAACAAAATCTTGGTCTGGATTTGTTCTCTCTGGACCTGAAATCTCCACCTCTGCTAGTAATTGGCGCCCATGTACAAAAACGGAGTTGTTATCTCCTTCCTTTGACACGTCAGTGTTATAAGTGATACTTTATCAATTGAGACATGAGGGCCTGGTTATTGAGGGCTTACCAAACGACCCCTCCCCCATCCCAGGTGTCCTCTCCGAAGAGCAAATCCGGCTGAAGAAGCTGAAGAAGCAGCAGGAAGAGGAGTGTGCGCGCACGTCTGCCGTGCCGGCCGAGCCAGCACCGAGGCCCGAGGTGGCCCAGCTGGCTCCAGAGCAGCTGGAGATGATTGAGAAGCTGGTGGCCATGCAGAAACAGTGCAACAAGAGATCCTTTCTGGACCGGCCCAAAGTCACGGTGAGTGTGGCATCGCCGCGCGAAAGAGACCGTCTACCACGAGTATTTTCTCCTCATATTGTTTTAACGCTGTCTACTTTTATTGTTTTTAAATTTGTACTTTTGAAAGCAAAACCTTGTTGCAACTATTGCTATGGTAACACCCAAATAATGTAATTTTCATGTATATATCATGCATACTTGCATAAACCATGATTTATTAGTCCCTCCAGAGGAGCCTCAGTTTAAAAAAAAAAAAAAAGCACGTAATAGGCACCTGGCTTACCTCCAGCTTTTAAAGGTAGACAGTCAGAGCCCATTTTAAAGGCAGTATGCTCTGTGTACGAGCTGCGTCGAGCCCTAAGGCGGTGCTCTGATGAGTCTCACTCCCCGCATTGGCTGTTGTTCAGTGTTTGGCTCTGACAGACAGGTGGCGTGGTCCAGCTACAGTTAAGTTTCCTGCTTTCTGTTCAGTTGTTTTAGAGGAGAAAGTCCTCCTGTAGGTGGGTGAGTCATATAATGTGTGGTAAGTGGCAGGATGGTAATTTCTTGAGTGGGAGAGACGATGCCCATTTGATCACATGCCACTTGATTCCCACTTGACTGGATGAGCATTTTTGTGGGTTTGAATAACAAATATGGCTGTGTGTAATAAATGCATTTTAATGCTTAGTCTTTCAGCTACATTCAGTACAAAGCACAATATTATACAAATAAAGGATAAAATAAACAATAGAAAATTTGCATAATAAAGACAAGTTTAACATTTGTCATATTGCTGTTCCCATAAAGTACAGGAGGCTGCAATACTGCAGTAGTAGAAGAACCTGTTCTTGAATCTGGTAGTCACTGTTCCTCCTGCCACGCTCCAGGGGTGTGAACTGCACTCCAGGGGTGAGAACAGCATTTTGTATGAATGCAGTGTATGGTGCGGCCATGCTGTGACATTTGGCTGATTTTTCCTAAGCAGAATTTTTGTCCTCCTTTGACCCTTCTTAATAAACCACTGCATGAAGCAGTTTGGATCACTCATTTGCAGCCTCCAAACTGAAATAAGAAAATTTCAATGGAATGAGGCCACTAGCAAAGTCATTTTCTTACTCGTTGATAGTGTTAGATAGTTGACCATGATGTTTTTTGAGCTCACATCATGTAGACATGTTTAGAGGTTGAAAGTTAACACGTTTTTGCTCCCTCCCAGCTCCAATCCTGGTAGCAAAAATGTGGATTGTGTGGCTAGGAGCTGGGAGGGAGCAAAAACGTGGGCTGTCTTGGGGTCCCTGAGGACTGGGTTAGGAATTACTATTATGGATCACAGGCGACCTTTTTGAGCTGGTCATGCAGTACCCCTGTTCTGTACAGTGCTTACAGTGCTTGACACCTCCTCTCTGCCCTCTACTTGCCCCCCTCAGCCGTGGCCCCAGAGCCAGGACCCGCAGAACCGTGAGGTGAGGCAGCAACGCTTTGCCCATTTCACCGAGCTGGCCATCATGTCAGTGCAGGAGATTGTGGACTTTGCCAAGCAGCTTCCGGGTTTCCTGGAGCTCACTAGAGAGGACCAGATTGCCCTCCTTAAGACGTCCACCATCGAGGTCAGTGAGCCTTGTGTCTCTCTTCCCTGGGAAAGAAAATACTCTAATAATATCACATATCCTGGTGTGATTTAGTAGAAATTAATCTAAATGAAAGGACTTTCACCCATAGACACTGGGTTTGCTTAATCCTTCAGGAGCCCCTACTGCTCTGCAGCAAGATTTATAAATGGTTGTTTAGGTTCCACCTTGTAGCGCATTTTACATGAGGAACACCCAAACAAATCAATAGGTCTGCTTTGCAAATTCCTTTTAAAAATGGGTGTATTATAATTACCACTCCCACTCTCACTTAAAGGAAAATCAATTCAAGGACTATTAATTACTAGCATTACTGAATGTTAGCATTATACATAGGTTGGTACAATATCTTTAACTTGTTGGCATCTTGGATATAAACTACTTAAAATCCGAAACGGATCAAAATAAATCCAGCAAAACGGAATGCATACGAACCTTTACTCTAACTTCCTCCTACATTCATTTTTGAAACGGGTGGAAACACAGGCAGGTTCTCAAAAGGCACCAAGCGAGAACCAGTCCAGCACTGGCTCTGTGTTGGTGGAAGTGAAGCATATGTGTTAGTTTTTAGATACACCTGTAAAGCGGAGTGATACAGCTGACATGAAATGAAATTATACTCTGATAACCGCACTCAAAGAACGCCTCTTGTGCAATCAGATTTCTTGGTTGGAACTAACTGTTGTATAATATTAAATAATTCAGTTTTAGCTGATTTTGAATCCAGGTCTGGACTACTTTAAAGCAAGATTTGGGACCTGTACCACCTCCTGCCCTAAAACGTGCTGGGCCTCCTGTTTACTAGACAGTACAGCTAATGGGCTCCCATATTCCATTACAAAGAGCTACAAATTAAATCTGCTGCTCTTGTCTAGTTTGCTAACGTATCCTTAGCTGTGGTCTCAATAAATATGCCCTGTAGGTCCCTTATCGATCAATAGTGGTAGGATGGCCTGCTTTGGTAAGTCGGAGGAACTCTCATTTATACAGTTTCACATATAAGGCGTTACTTGGGATGCTGCCTTCTTATATATGTTCCTTGTTTGCACTGAAACATGCTGGTCGGTATTCTCTTCGTCCGCATGGTTATTTGTTGCTTTCTGTTCCATTTGCCAGAACTGAATTTGGTAAAAGAGCTTTTGTCCATTTCGCATCCTTGGCTTGGAACAAACTGCAGAAGGAATGGAAATTGACTGAATTTATTTCACTAAGTGTTTTTAAATCTAAATTACGAATCCTTGAGGCTAAGTCCATAACATGCAACTGTTTCAGTTAGATTAACTGTTATTTTATTTTAAATTTTATTGAATTTTATTTTATTGTATTATTTCACTTACTTTGGTATGTGTGTTGTTGCTGTCTGTGTTTGATTAATTTTCTGTAACTGTGAGACATTTGCTGTTGCCTATCTTGGCCAGGTCTCCCTTGAAAAAGAGGTTTTTAATCTCAATGGGATCTTCCTGGTTAAATAAAGGTTAATAAATAATAAATAAATAATAGTGATTAGAAGGTCTCAAATAACATGTTTGTTTTTTTTGTAGATCATGCTGCTGGAGTCGTCACGGCGATATGACCCTGCCATAGAAAGTATCACTTTTCTGAAGGACTTTAGCTATAATAAGGAGGATTTCGCAAAAGCGGGTAATGTATAGTTTTTATTTATTATTATCTGCCATTAGGTTGACTTTGGCTACTGACATACTGTATATAGCACCAACCCCTCAGAATGTTCCTTCTTTTGTCTGGGTCTTCTGTTCTGTCTTCAGGTTTACTAGTGGCATGTTCCCTTCTTCGAGATGCTGTTTGTTCGTTTTCCTTGCACTCCACAGTAGTCCAGTTTTCACATATATAAAGATTCACAGGAAATGTCATATTCTTCACAATTCTTATCCTTGTTTTTCCTCTTCATCTTGGCTCTGCCAATCGTCAGGTTATGACATATTTCTTGACTGCTGGGTCCTGACTTGTTGATTGTTCCAAGGAAGCAAAAGCTGTCTATAACCCCTGTCTTCATCAGCACATTTAGCTGTAGTCCTATTTTTTTGTTTATCTTTCCTGTCCACTGTAATGCTCTTCTTTTCAACATCAATCCGATAGTGAAGCTTCATCCCCAAATCTGACTTATAATTTTGCAGGGCTTTGGTAATTTGGTAATTATATTTTGTTTGATGTGTTTGCTTTAGAGGTTCTCTGTATTCCTCCCACCTCAGCTTTTAATAAATATTTAAATATACATACTGGTACAGTAGACCTTGGTGCATTCTTCGTCTGTATAAGCCTCACGGTTTCACAGTATACGTCCTTATACTGTTTCTGCAAGGGCCTAGTTTGATTCTTTGTATTAAACCATGTTCTGGTGCTACCTGCTCTCAAGGATGCAGGTAACATTGCAGGTAGCTTTTGGGTTACTTTGAGTTCCAGTTTAAAGAATTTTCACATAGCTGACATCATAGTTTGTAGTTCCAAGCCAATAGTTTGCAGCGTATGACAGAACCTTGCAATCTGCACAGCTGACTTAAATTGGACGGACAAAGGAAATTAAACAGATCAAGCTTTGGATTGGGCTGTGGTAGCCGATAATGATCTGTTGTCATATTTTGTCCCACCCCCGCCCACAAAGGAAAAAAAACATTTTGATTTCACTATGCTTATTTTTAAGTTAAGAATATAAATCTATTAAAATTTTTTTTATTGCAGTTGTCACTTTTGATTTGTTTGCGTTTGCAGTGAATATCAGTGTAGTCGGTCAAAGTTTAATGTAACTTCCTGTTCACTCATGAACATGAATAACAGTTTGCTCAAATATGTTTTTCGATATTTTATCATTGCTTATTCATTTTAATTCTTTTTCCAGGATCCTGCAAGTCATTTTTATTTCTGTCACTCTCTGTCCAGTCCCACATTCAAAAATGAAAATGTCTCGCGCTGCACTGCATTGTCACGGCTCCCACAGGAGCCCCGCAGGAATGCAGACCACTAGCTCAATCCCTCCCCCCAGTTATGTTTTTTTTCCAACACCTGTGCCCCCTATGCATTTTCTTTGTGCCCCACCCTATATAAATGGTATATAGGGTGGTTATTGGTAAACTGTGACAATTCTAGAAATTTTCCTTACTCTCTCACTTTAAAAATATGATCCTAATTATGAATATTAAAACATAAAAGAAGTATTGAAAGCTCAAGAACTCAGCTTAAGTTAATATACCACAGAGGTATAAAGATATAGCTAGTCAAACATATGTGTCCCAGTTTACCCTTTGTCCCACATAACTAATATTTACTCTCAAGATTCTGAAAATTGTTATATAAGTGGAATGTACAATAAATGAATAAGTAAACAGTCAGACCTACATATCTGACCTACATAGTACTTCTACAAATTGTACAAGTTGGTGAGTGTGGGATGGGTACAGCTTAGATAGCCAAACTAAATGACAGGGCTGCCCGGGGAGTGCAATGCTGTCCTTTCTGACGGCACCAAATCTAGTACAAATTGTGCAACCTGGAAGACCAGAAAAGTAAGTTAGGAACAGAGTTGGGTATTTCAGGTCCAGAGAGTACAAGTCCAGACTGGGATTTTGTTTCAACCAATCAGTTGAATACTCTAACTCTTTATGCTCAACTGGTTGTTTGAAACAAAATCCCAGTCTGGACTTGTACTCTCTGGACCTGAATTACCCAACTCTGGTTAGGAACTTACATTCATCCATCTTCCAGCCATTGGTCAGAGTTGCAATGACACCTGGAGCTCATCCCAGCTAGTAGATTGAGCTACAGGATTCTCACGTCCCTAGAACCACTGTACTGCCCATGTTAGGATCTCGGTTTTCTTAATTGTTTGAATGCACTAGAACTTAGTTTTGTGTTGTTTCTCGCTTTTTTAGGGCTTCAGTTTGAGTTCATTAACCCCATCTTTGAGTTCTCCAAGGGCATGAATGACCTGCACCTGGATGAAGCAGAGTATGCCCTGCTCATCGCCATCAACATCTTCTCAGCAGGTGAGACTCTTTCCTTTGTTCTTCAGCTTCCCCTAGTAGTTAGTGTGGCAAGAACCCATGCTTTTTTGTAGGGGTTTTTCAAGGGCTACATTTCTTGGTAGTTTGTGTGATACTCCTTTTGTAATGGCCCAACGCTGTAAATATCGTTAGAAATGTAAGGTAACAGTTAATGTATTTTAACAACCATAAATGTCACCAGCTCCATGGCCTTATTCTTCTGTAACAATTACATTGTTTTGCAGATCGGCCTAATGTACAAGACCACGATTTAGTGGAAAGACTGCAGCAGCCATATGTAGATGCACTTCACTCTTATATCAGAATAAAGAGACCAAACGTGAGTAACAGTAAGTTTGAAATAGCTATCAGTCCTGGGTGATACATTTCCCAGAAATTAATCATTTGAGTGGTTTATTTTTAGTAGTATTTTAATTCTTTACATGCAGTTTTTTAAACGCCTTCAGTGATGTGTACATGTCCAGGAGATTAATAGAAAGATGCGTTGATAATGTGTGTCTCTCCTGCAGGACCAACTGATGTTTCCTCGCATGTTGATGAAGCTGGTGAGCCTCCGCACCCTCAGCAGTGTCCACTCTGAGCAGGTCTTTGCACTGCGCCTCCAGGACAAGAAGCTCCCGCCGCTGCTGTCTGAGATCTGGGATGTCCACGAGTGACCCCATGGCCTTTGCTCTTCTTAATCCATAATCCCCTTCCCCAGTACCCAATCAGCAGCTGCCCTTTTGTGACTGTGCACACGGGGCATTGATGCAGAAACTTCGGGTTTACCTGCTGCTGGGCTATCTGCTTAAAAGTAACATGTAAAAAAAAAAAAAACACCTCACAGCATGTTGTCCACCTGATTGTAAAAGTCAGGGGTGGTTTGGAACCTCCCCGGGATGGTTTGGAACCTGCACGTGTTCTCACATGTTTACTTTTACCAGAGGCAGATTTTTCTTTCTGTAGGCTCGGAGAGGTTATTTTACTTTTTGATTTCCTTTCAAACATGTTAATGGTCAAATTCTGAGTCAGGACAGAGCTTTGAGCAGAGTGAGGACATTTGTTCCTGGTTTTTAGTGATTTCATAATACATAATGGTGAATCTCAAAAATTTCAAACTCAGTTTTCAGTCTTAAATTTGAAGGTGTCAAGAAAGCTCTGAGGCATTTTGTGGTAGTAATCCAGTTTCATTTTCTGATGCCTGGGTTTGTTTAAGCAGCTGTACTACTTTTTATGACTATGCCGTATGTGAAACTAAACTGTTCAATTTATGTTTTACTGACGCAAGCACGGGATAATTACTGAAGGGTTTCAGTCACCATTTAACACACACCACCATTCAATACAAAAACACTAAAACTGATATATGTCAGAGCCTTCAGCAAGTCGCCATATTTTTATTCATGCTCATATTTAATTTAAAGATTTAAACATTTGGCTAAAACATGGAGATTAATAAAAATATAAGCAATCCACAGCACTGATGAACTAATACTATGAGATTGAGCATTATATATATATAAAATAATGCTCAAAGTGCTTCTATGACAAATACCATGACCTAGATAACTAACCCCCCCCCCGCCCGCCAGAAAAAGAAATATATATTCCTGTCACACCGTTCGTTTTAGAATTGGTGGATCCTTTCTGTTGACCTGGCTTGTCCTGTACTCCAATAGGGTGTTATTTGTAAAACTCCCTTAGCCAATGTGCATTACTTCTATACGCGATAAATGGATACTGGACATTTGACCCCTCTTGATTGCTTGTCTAAGCTTAAACCGAACAAAGAGTCACAACCAGGAAGTGGACTCATCAAAGACGGAAAATTTGTAGTAGTGACTATAATAGAAGTAACAAAGCTACATAAAGAAGTTACATAAATGATTAAATGATTTATAATTATATAGTTGCAAGTAATGCAAGTGAATATAAATGGTTGTTACCTTAATTATATTTGGTCATGTGCTACTTTGGTTCATTTTAATTTGAAGTTATAGAAAACTAACAAGGACTAACCCGGCAAACACTTCAAGGCATAAATACCCACATCTGTTATCCACTGTGATGACCAGTCTCCTTACCTGTTACATAGATGTTTAGGACACATCTGGGAAGGATTCTTACTTTGTTTAGAGTCACTAAAACCAAACTTTTCTGCTTTCGTTTCATAACATTTATATACCCTGGTAGGCGCTAGCTATTTGGTCAACTAGTCTTCACTCAAAACCTAATTACAGATCCCAGTTGTATGACGATGATTTTATGAAAGTAGACCAAACGTTGCAATGTCGAATATTCCCTTAATTTACCTGTTTTATTCTAGCTCTTCTAATTGCTTTTCTTGGTTAAGAAAAAAAAGTAATTTGTAGCCTTTATGTACTTTTATACACATTTCTGTTTACCAGTTCTAGAAAAAACATTAGAATCTGTGTAATGCGAGTAAAATATTTATATATTTATCCCACCGGATTGTGTAAATTAGTATATCTTGTCAGTCGTCTTTTACAGATCTTCTAATTTACCAAAGCCCTGCGTTTTGCATTTACCAAATTATGTTAACACCTGTAAATGAGATTTCACCTTTTATATGGGATGTTTTGATGAAAAATCAAAAATTTTAATATCTCAACGCCTTAAATAATTTTGTCCTGCTCAATGTACAAAATAAATTTTGGAAAAAAATGGTAAAATATAGCTTATCAAATATACTCTCTTGTACTTAAAATTTCCGCAATCTAAAGCTAAGATATTAAGCCATTTACAAGTGTTTTTTTCATTCCAATCTGCTTTTGAGGAAGTAAATAATTATTAGATTCATAAATAAAATGTTGAATTTTATCTGCTGTTTTGTGCCTTGGAGAACTTCCTGTTCTGTGGCTTTTCCAATGGTCTCATGTTCTGGTTAATGTTCCAGTGTCCTACTTTGATTGAAGTGAGAAATAGCAGAATTGTGTTTTGTTTGAAGGTGAGGGAAAGGTGCAACTAAAATGGTATTTGAGAAAAGTGCAATATCTTTCTGCATGTTGAAGAAATGGGCGCCCCGAACACGATACAGCAGTCCAAAAGTTTGGTTGGAAAGATCCTCATCTATTGATGAAGTCTGTATTTGAAAATGATGCCATTTAGAAGATGTTCCCCTAGAGGGCGCTAAAGGCTTGTGGTAATTCATAATAGACTTCGTGCTTTGAATTTAGCTTGCATAATAATAATAATAATAATAATAATAATACAGTGGACGTACCATTTAGTATATTTTGATTATAGTGCAAATTTGATTCGCTCTTAATGAAGGAGAGTGATCTTCAGGTTACTCCGCATCGGGGAATAACAGTGGATCTAAAGGGAACAAGGAAAAAGAACACATTGTCAAAATGAACATTTGCAGAATTAACTCCCGTACCGGCAACGCACAACACAAAAACAACGTTGCCGTGACATCTAGGCCTCTTCAGTTCGAAGCCCTTTAAAGGCTTAGAGCCACTGGAATGTACTACTACGCCAAAAAAACAGGGGAGACGAGCAATGTCTGGTGGCAAAGACAACGAAATTACAGCTGTATTAAAACAGCAATGGAATTAATTCACAAAAGCACATTTACATTTTTCATATTATGAAATCAGTAGTATTATTAAATCAATTATTATCATTATTATTAGACATATTAGGCAACTGTTTCGATGTACACGGGGAACTAACTGATATATTTTCGCGTGCTATGGCAATATATCATTTAACTAGACGAACAAAGGGACGTGTAAAGAAAGGGATACAGAATCCGACATATTGGGGCGCCCTTGGGCTTTTGTGGGCCGTGACACCCCCGCCTCGTTGAATGGTAGCTTCTGGCGGTCCCCGCCCTGCAGTTATGCGGAACTGCGTGTGGCTGCTACGAGGCTGGCAGAGCAGCTGCCAGTGCTGCGTACCGCCCGAGCGGCGCTGAGAGCTGAGATGTGGACGATGTCTCGCCAGATCTGGGCAGCGTTCCAGTTATTCCATTAAGAAGAGGCTAGAGACAGGTAAGGGATGGAGTCGTGTTGCCTTCCTCTGCTTGCATGCCTGGGCTTCCAAACGCTAACATGGAGATCAGATAGATAGTGGTTTATCTGGCGATACAGATGGATGTAGATGTTGGTGCTCCGGAAGCGCCCGCCCGCTGTGGCTGTAGTGTAAGTTGCACGGTCGCAAAGCGGACGCCTAATTTGAGGTGATCAAGGTCTTATTATTCAGCAGGTGGGCATAAGCCTCAGGGCGACTGCCTGAAAGCAAGGTGATCGCCCCCCTTTGGTGCGGACGCGGTGTTTAGGGAGTTGAATACCACAGGTCATTGTGGGTTTGGGGTGGACCGGGCACCGCTATAGTAGGCGACCAGTAAGCCCCCGATCTTCCTAGTGCGCTGCACGCCATGTGTCCGGTGATGTCCGGGCAATCATGCGAATTTGGGCACATTAAGAAGCATGCCATATCGTGTAGTGCTCTGCGTTATGAAAGAGTCTGGCGCGCCGTACTGTCATCTCGCTGCTGGTGTACCACATTATTGCAATGGTTGTCTTTCGTATTTAGACCAAGCAGACACGGCCAGATGTTGATGCCGATTGTTGGCTGGAGTGAAGTTGCAAATGCTGAAGCGAGCACGGGGGCGTTAATTGGTCTGCTGTTATGGAGTGATCTCTCTTTTGTTGGCTGCTTGAAGCGCATGTCCAAGGGCAGAATTGTCTGTCAGCAGCTTCTGTGCATCCCTCGCATTGGCTGTATGACAGTGATTTGATGGCTGGTTGTCTAACTCTTTATTTCCTGAATCGAATGGTACTCATGCTGGGACGATGTGGGAAGTCTGTCACGGGCGTAGCCCTGCACCCCTGAGGTTGCTGTTAGGGTGGTGAAACGTGCGTGGTGGGAAGTGCGGTTCCAGCAGGTGTCCAGCCAAGGTCACATTTTAGGCCTGGTCACGATGCTAAGGCGAGACAAGGCAAGGAATGAATATCCCACATAAAACATCAGGATTTTAAAACACATAAAACACAGAAACGTGCACAAATTGGGTTCCACAGCTCTCCTGGGAATATCCACATCACATTTATTTATTTACCAAATGCTTTTATGAATCAAGTCTCGTATAACTGAGAGAGCAGGGTTATCTAGGCTCCGCAGCAATTGGGGTTAAGTGCCTTTCTCAAAAGCCCAACAGTGAAATCATTCTCCTGGCCATGGGATTTGAACCGGTGACCTTCTGATCACAGGTACAGAGTTGTAACCAACAGAGCCACACATGAGCTTTTCTCAGGTCACAGGATTATAGTTGCGCCCCGTTTGCATAATGTTTACTTTCTAGGTTGGGTCTCCGGTTCTGGCTTCTTGGCATGAGGAGGAGCCCAAAGACTCGCCAAGCGCGACCAGGGAGCTCAGGCGTCACTCTGGCACTGAGTGCCGATGGCATTCCAGCAAACGCTGCGAGGGGTCCTGCGGAGAGTTTGTCGCTGTCGGAGCTGGGGGAGGTGACGCATGGTTGGTGTCAGCAGGAGCCACTTTGTTTACTAGGTGTGTTGGTGTGCCCTTGTTGAAAGGAGCTGTCACTGCGACTCAGACGTGTGACACTTCATCAGATTCACTGGTGGTGAAGCTAAATACAATGTGGAGAGCGCATGGTCAAGGAGAAATCGTTAACGATTTCTATTTAAAGGTGCCCGTGTATTGATTTATTGTTCCTCCTTTGATAAATGAGACTAACAAGAAAATTATAATAAACCAAGCATATAAATCAGACTCAGAATCTGTCTGAGAATTTAAATGTTCGCCTACTCTTTGTTAGTTACCATAACAGAAGTAATTTAAAGGCCAGTTAGTAGGTTATTGGTTATTTAAGGACTGTTATTTTTGCATTGTCTACATGTTTTTTCTTAATGGAATCGGGAAGCAGTGTATGTATTAATACCTTTTCATAAGTTTAGCTATGCTTAATCTCATGTTGTATTTTTGTCTTATAGTGAAATACTGTGGCACCCAAAATTCATGTTAGGAAAAAGGTACTGTCAGTTTAAGACCTATGTATATGCTAGGTACCATATTTAACAGAAAAGTTTGTGTTTACAGTAACGGAAAGCTAGCAGAATAATTAAAAAGTGTACATTCACTGGGTCTTAGGAATGATAATACATAATTGTTGATGCAGTAGAAAAATGCTCCTTGGAAATTTATCTGCTGCCTTGATATATTGTACTTTTATTGACCCCTGGAGAGAAATTAGGAGTTCAGATGGACTCCTAAAAAAATAACAAAAAAAACAAGTCTGTCATGCATTGAATGAAATCAAATTTTCTGCGATGGATTAGCACCCCATCCTGGCTTATTCTCCACCTTGTGTCTGTAGATTCTGTAGAGGTGTTGAACCCCCACAGCCCTACATAGGACAACTGGGTATAGAGGATGGATGGATTTATTTTCTTATTTTTATTTTCTTTATTTTCTTATTTTATTCTGAAAAAAATGGAAATGGTCAAACTTATGAAATTGCCAGTTGATTTACTGATATCCCTCTCCCTCGGTATGTGAAATTTTTCTACACCCTATTACGGTCCACGAGTATTGTAAGATTGGGAAGCCCTACTTCTCATTAATCTGATTTCACACTGCCAGGAATCAATATAATATATGAGCATTAAAAATATTTCTCCCCACATTGTAGGTTGTCTGCAGTTTGTTTGCGCCTTTCATAACACAAATATGGGGTGAATTTCACTTTTGAATTGTAGTGAAAATGTAGTACAAAGTACGTTTTGTCTGTTAAATAGCCCTGATTTCTGTTTGTTTGTGTGGTTTTACCAGTGAAGCCTTTCATTTTGCTTCGTCAATGAATTGCATGAAAACCCAGGTGGTACTGAAACATTAGAGAATTCTATAAATGACTGTATAAATGTCTTCAGCGCTGAACCAGGCAGCTATTTTGTCTCCTTTTTAGGCATGTAAAACAAGCTGAGATCAGTTAAGAATCCCTTAGCCTTCTGATACATAAATCCTGGCTTGTACTGAACCATTTTTAGGGTTGTTCATAATTCTGACTGCAGCTGTAGGGTTCCGAGCATAAATCAAGTCTGAAGGACATGAAAAAACATCAGACATTGCGTTAGTGACTGATATGAGCCGCTCTACAGTGTGGAAAGTACTGATTTGCAGTTCTTTTTCTTAACTGCCAATCACAATAAGGTTAAAAACAGTAAAGTGTTAGGAATTGAAATACAAGGATTGTATTCTATCTTGCATAAGAAGGTAGTGGAGGATAAAAAATTCCAGTGCATAAAAGAGACCTCAGTGGATTAAGGTAAGACCTTCCACTAGGCGCAAATTAGGAAGCCTGTTGAGAAGATGTCATGTGGACCGGTACCAAACTATGTCAGGGATTACTATCATTAATAATAATAATAATAATAATAATAATTAATAATAATTATTCATAATAATGTATAATCTGGCTAAATTCATGGAAACCTGAAGATGAATGAGAATGCAGTGCCTTTTTTCTTTTGAGAATTGAGTCCAGTATTTACCCTTTTATAGACTGCCTCGCGAATACTGTAATACTTTGTTGGAGTGCCTTTAGCTTTGATAATGGTGCACATTCGTCAATGCATTGTTCGCACGTACTCATGCAGCGTTTTTCTTCATCCAGATTTGCATTCATTTCTCTTTGAAATCTTGTATTGATGATAGGTGAATCGAACCACTCTATAAAGTCTTCCTTAGCCATCTCAAAGACTAAGATCAGGACTCTGTGGTGGCCAATTCATGTGTGAAAATGATTCCTCATGCTCCCTGAAGCACTCTATGACAATTTGAGCCCGATGAATCTTGGTATTATCATCCTGGAATATGCCCATGCCATTAGGAAAGGAAAAATCCATTGATGGGATACCCTGGTCATTCAGGAGATTCAGGCACTCAGCTGACTTCACTTTATTGCTGCATGACGTTGCTGAACTGTAATACTGATCCAGTCTTTGGCTCTTAAGTACTTGCTGGTTTAAACTAAAGCCGTGCCTTTTTTGGCCAAGCAGTGTATTAATTCATTTCCAGTGCACCCTCATAGTTGATGGAATCCTACCAGAGTGGTTTCCGGTGGAGTAAATTATCGCAGCTTGAAGATCTTGACTTTGCCGATGACCTAGCTGCTCTCTCCTCAAAACTACTTCATTTGCAGGAGAAGACTGACAGAGTGAACACCTCTGCCAAGCAAACAGGTGTCAAATTCAGTGCCTAAAACACAAGTGATGTGCTTAAATGCCAACCTTAGTGCACCTATCACTATAAATGATGTGCCACTTAAAATATGTTGTGGAGTTTACAAAAGCATTCACAAGACTTCAGCCCATCTGGCAGTATAAACAGTTCATCCTGAGAACAAAGGTCAGACTCTACAACAGCAATGTCAGACCTGTTCTTGCGTATGGCTCTGAATGCTGGTGTGTTGTAAAGGGGGACATGAACAACATCGATGTCTATGACAATGGATGGACAAAGGATATCTTCTCAGTAGGGGTGGGCGATATAACCAAAATCTTCTATCACGGTAGAAGCAATTTTCTACCTCGATAACGATATATATCACAATATAGCAATTTGTATCTGGAAATGCATAAATAAAAATTCAAACACAAAGAAACTGTTTTATATAATGTAATTTTATTTAAAATTGCAGCATTACTTTAAGTAAAAAAAACAACCATACTGTTTACTGCAATGTATTGTACTGCATTTTTTGACATATTCGTTTGGATGCTTGGATTTGAGAGCTGCACCGTCTTCTTCCATTGTCGAAGTGAATGTGTATTGCGTGGTTACCTAACATGCAACGTCACGTGATCTCAATCGCGATTAAGACGATAGACCAAAATCTCTATCGGTTGACAAATTTCTACCGGTTAGTCAAGTCTACCGGTATATCGGCCACCCCTACTTCTCAGGAAGATATCTACTGGCCCGAGAAGATCTCTAATGAAGAGCTTTCCAGTCAAACAAAGAGCCAGAG